CCAGTGCTACCATTACGCTCACGAGAGGTAGATTTTGGTTAAGGCGGAAAACTATGTTTTGGCGTTTATGGCGTTAAGTGCACTTCTTCGTCTCCACTTTTGGAAAGCCTTCCACCTAACTCCTAGAGCTGGCTCATCGAATTTTGGAATCAGCCACGCGCTTACATCTTCAAAGGAATGCATTGTTATGGTGGTGTTTATGCTGATTCCCAGACAGACGAAGAATTCAAAGGCATGATCGTCAACAGTAGCTTGGGAGCCAAAGTAAGTAATGCAAAACCGGGCCATGTGACCAACCATATTAATGCCGTTGAGGCATATGCCAGCAATTATGTACTCTACGATGAAACCACAAGAAAGGGTGTCACCCTGGCGCAAACCTCGTTCCCTATTCTGACTGCGTTTCTTTTATAATTCAGCTTTAAATTGACGAAGAGGTGAAGTGCGCCAATCTTTTTTCAATATTCTTTTAAATAATTAGGCGGATCATGAATTTACTGCCAAGATCAATAAGTTCGTTAACGCCAAAAAGACCTTAGGGTTGGAAGTTATTTTCCATCGCATTTCTCCCAACTTATTTCCTCTTAAGCTTTCGGTATCTCTCCCACCCCGCAAGTGCGGTGCTCAATCGGAACGTTGCTAGGAAGACAATCGAGTTTCTTTCCATTGCCGATTGTCTTGCCTTATCGTACCAACTCTTTTCTATGGCGTTCTACAACTCCATTATATAGAGTTTCTGAAGAATAACTCTCAGGGTGCTGGATTGGATTAGAAATAAATATAAAACTAGTTTTCTGCTGTGAAAATAGTTTGCGACGTCATAGCTTCAGTACATCTTTTTAAGGGCATTATTTTTTGCGCAGAAGCGGATGCATGTTGTCGAGTCAATGTAGAGTCTACAGCCCCTACGAAGATCTACGCATTTTGAAACAATGCAGACATGGTTGCAAAGTTTTCTGGAGAAAGCTAAGAAGCTCAAAGAAACTAAGAACCTGTAGAAAGTTTAGAAGCTTGATGAGTTTTTTCGTGCTGAAATCTTATTCTGCAGACAACCACATTTTGTGTCGATGCGAAGTCAATAAGCCACAATTCATATGTGGATGTCACAGAGGAAGAATTTTTCTACTGTTGTGCTGAAGTTACCTTCGTGGCCCACCCTCCTGTTAAAATCGCCAATTATGATCTCGATATCTCGGTAAGAAAAGAGCACATAAGTGTGTTCCAAGTGCTCATTGATGCCATCATCGTAATTTTCTGTCGTCGGGGCATGAAGCTCTTCAGCTTGCTAAATAGTGATTTTTGAAGAATTTTATTTTGTTGGGGATTGTAACGACATGCTTACCCACCGGTGTGAAGGACTGGACTCAGGACTAGTTCTATTTTCCACAACTAATGTGACACCGAATAACATAGCAGTAGGTCCTACTCGCTTCCGTTTTTGTCTCGTTGATCGCTCTACATCAAACAAACAGACAACAACCAGTTGGGCAGCGCCCTCCTTCCCAGTGAAGCCACCGGTTATTCCGGGTACAATCCCCTCAAATTGTGTGCCTTAAAACGTTTGCTGCGAGTTCTCTCGTGCAAGGCCTTATCAACGTTTTTTAATTGGATTACTTTTTCTGACGGGTTCAAGCTCGACGTACAAAACCAGGGACTATGGTAAATGCCAGTCGAAAACTAATTTCATGGTCAGAAGGCGAACGGCGAACAGAGAACGGGGAACGTTATCCAAAGTTACCGACCTAAAAAAAGATAAAAATAATAGCCTTTACTCCCTTTCAGTTCTCCCAACTCAATTATCACCCCTCTAAATTCTTTCTGCAGTAAAATTTAATTGCCGCAGTTGAATAACTATTTATTTTCCAACAACGATGAGCGACTAAATGAACGCTTTAAGTTAATTATTGCATAATGACAATGGAAATGCAAGTCGTGGTAATAATCCCAGTGTGCAAATGCTGCAACACATTGCGTCGAATGCGTCGTGGCATAAAGTAAAAGTGTCATAGTCGTGGTGGAAAGGAATTTAGTTGCTGCCACAAACGTGAAATTGGCAATAGAATTTAACAACAAATGTAAAATACAACTGCGACAGTGTTGAGGAGGAATGTGTGCTTGAATTAATGTATATACCTACATATACACTTATAAAAATATAGTATATAAATCCGCGGTGGAAATGCATACCCTCGTGCTTTTTTAATTTGTAGCTCATTAAAAACTTTCTTGCTCACTCACAAACACTAACTTAGTCTAATTATTCGATGTTCCCAGTGCTTGTCTCCTTTGTTTTACCGCTTAACCGTTAATCGACTTTATTTTCTTAATGAGAATGACAACTAAACGATAATAAAGCGAGGAGTGTAGAGAATAAATTAATTATTTTTCAGAATAATGGAAAAAGTTGTTATGCAGACAGATGCGCTTAACATACCGAAAGTGGTCGTTCGAACCAAAAACGATTTGGACATGGGGATGAATTAAACCTGCTCACAGCGCCCATAAGTATGCACCAGATTATATCCATCCAAGGTTAGATTTCAATAGTTGCTTCCAGGTGAGAATACTCCCTAGATGTGAAAATACAATAGAAGATGTTTCATGAGAGAGGAAGACACCATCTTAATCTTTTCCGAGTGGGTTGAAATTAATCCGTGGTTATCTGCGTCTACTAAACTCGACAATTGTTCCCCTGTTAAGCTCTAACGTAACCTACAGTTTTAAAAAGGCTTTAGATCTTCCTGGCAGGAAAACTCGAAATTTGCATAATATGGGTTCCTAGCCATAGGGCTTGGTAACGAAGAAGCTGAAAAGTTTGCCGATTCGGGGAAACATCTCTTGATGAATTTCAAGTGTAGTTTATACTATCCCTGTTAGATACAATTAGAAGAGAGCTTCACCTTGGACATATAGCGCTGATAATGAAGACATCCAAACGAGCCACGAACTTTTGCCGGAGAAGTATTTTTGTTTTCCAGGTGAGTAAAAGCTATTCAAACTTCGTCATAGTAAAGCGATGGAGCATCTATTCTAACGTCATCGGTTGAGTGAAGATGACTTCTCTCTTTTCTTTAAATCGTCCCATTTTTAATAGAAGTTTTGAGCATTTAACATTTTGAACATGGTACCTTCCTTGTATTTATTATGGATGGATATCTTTGTTGCCACAAAATCGTGGGTCAAATCGACATAAAGACCAAGCACATCACAATATTACAGGTTTGGTTTCGAATCTGCCGTACTGAAGTTCATTAGCTTCGTTGAAAGAAAACTTCTTTGCCGTCCCTGGTCCAAGCGCTGCTGAAGAACTTTGCTCCAATTCCAATTCAGACATTCCTCGACTGTTGTGAATTTAGATAGATCGTTCCCTCGCTTGGCTTCATATAAAGCTTTTGTTGGTTTCGCCTTACCATAGTGCGCCATGTAGGCAGATATCAACTAGAGCTCTCTGGTATCATTTGCCACCATGGTGTTTACAATATCCCTTTAATGAATTAAAAATATTCACATGCTATCCGCACCCATCACATTTAAGCTTCCAGTTCCGAATTCAGACAAGACTAACTCGAAAGATATTCATTCTCCTTAAACCTATTTAATATTCAAGACTGAATAAGGACTCGGCAACGGATCAGTGCTCGCAACATCTGAGAAAGACTAGATCCAACTTCCTTGCGGGTGCTTTCGTTCGCCTTACAATTGTCCGCTGCGGTGATCTCCGTTACAGTTGAAGGCTGAGAATTAAGGTCGATAAAACAAAGAATAAGAAAGGAGGATCTTTGGCACCACTCTACCGAAGCCCTTTTTTGTACCAATTTTCCTATGGTGAGTAGATCGAATAGCTCTGCTTGTAGAAAACCCCGCACATCACGATAGGGGTTTTCCGTCCACTCCAGCAGTCAAATGCCGGGTGTGCAGTACTTACTTATGGTTTAATCTCTTCAATAGAAACAGAGCCCGATCTGCTTTATCTATGACCTCCAGTTTGACTCCTAATCCATCATGAAAGGTACCTATTTGAACAGTATCGATTACCGTTCGAACGGCACATCTCACCAGCTTGTGGAAACCCTTATTACGAACCGCCTTTCGTATGTTTTGGAGTGAAGAATCGCCATAGGCACACCTCTGCTGCTTGACCGTTGAATTCGATGAACTGACGCCGTTTACCTCTGCTCAGCACGCACGTCTCTTCTTGGTGGAACCTGGTGGCCATATGATGATCTGACTGGCTTTCCGGGGTATCACGCCATTTGAGCAGAGCTGGTACTTCTTGAGAGGAGGTTTCCCAACTTTCCCAATTAGCAAATTCCCTGATTGTGCTTGTGATTTTCCTAGCACAGTGCTTATAGTTAGCAGACAGAGCGGAAGTCGAGTTCCATTGAGGTCCCCATAGAGTAATCCTCGGTGCACACCAGCGACAGGATTAGTTTTGACGTTCGACAACGAGGCTCTCTCAGTGGTTTTGCGGGTATATTATTGTTGGTATTGTCTTTGTTTGTTTTATATACTTTTTGATTGCAAAAGGGTCTCCAAAAAAAGCCGGTATTCGATTTCTGAGTGAGTAGTTTTACCTTTCAACTTGCTTGACGAACTAGAAATAAACTTCCACATCCATAAATCCCCTTTCACATGTTGTATTTCCATTGAAACACCACACAGTTGCTAGAGAAAAAGCTCACAGTTTTCAGAATTCCACCATTTGATGCTCTCTTTGTATCAAGAGCGTCATTGGGGATTCTCATAGAATTACGAGCTAAAGTTGATCTGACTTATCCATACAAGTGGATTTGGAAATGGAGGCCAGAGGGGAAGGGGAAGGGATAGAAGAGCAGTGTGCTCAAACAATAATGTCAAAAATTACAAAACAAAAAATTTTGACTCCTTCATTATTAGAAGAAAAAAATTGTTTCAAATAAATTGTTTCTTCTTCTTCATCGTTTGAGCTGCACGTGACTAGTTGTTATTTGTTCAAAATAATGGTTTTTTCTATCGAAATCTCTCACTAATTACTATTTTACTAATGAGCTTTGTGGCAGCTTTCTCGGAATATCGCTGATAAGTTACTGCAATGACAATGATTGATGGTTCCTTTGAGATAATTTCTCTATGGAAAACTCTCTTGAAGTCTTTAAAGACCACACAAAACTATAAAAGCTAACAGTTTGTGCTTAATTTCCGTATCGAAAGTGCTTTATTAAAAATTGTTCCTTTTTTTTTGGATAGAAATGCTAAAATACGGTTTATTTGTAATTTTCATTTGCTTCGTTGCAGAAAATTTGTCTGCTGAATATTCCACCGAAAGTCCCCTAGAAAACACGACCGATGATATTTATGCCGGTTTAATATTTCCAAACTTTTCGATAGAAGCTTTAGATGGGCCGAACTATCGCGCATTCCCACGTCAGGTAATACCGAAAAAGTTTGTCGTGGTGGCCTATGCCAAGGTGAGTTTGAAGGCTAAATAAAATTCAAATTTATTTACATAATTCTTTCGTACCCATTCGATTATTCAAATATTTAGGCCAATTGGTTTAAAGCTCAACAATTTTGCGGTTATCAAGGACTTGCGTTAGCCAGTATTACTTCATATGAAGAAGATCAAGTTCTGCAAAAGTTTTTGTATAATAATAGTTTGTATTACATATTTTTCTTTGAATATTCCTTCAACATAAATCACCAACATATCCATACTTTCCCTCTATACCAGATCTATCCTTCAATTCTGAGGAATATTGGCTCAGCGGTTCGAAACATGCCGATGGTCGTGAATGGATTTGGTTCAACTCAGGTCGTCCGGTTGCCTTCAGCCGTTGGGCATTGGGCAGACCGCTTGGAGTTTTGGGCAGTAGAAAATGTTTGGCTATGATGGCTAATGGCCAGTGGACCAATGATCGTTGTGAGAAGGAAAAATATTTCATTTGCGAGACCCGTTGTCCATTGAACAGTTATGATTTACCAATCTACGAGGAAGTTAAAGAGGACAAATATTTATAGAACGTAAAATGTAGTTCGTAATAAATTTTTTTATTTTATTTTTAAGCTGAGAAGAAAATATTAAAGTTTTTCGATAAAAGCATTTTCTTTGTCAAAATTTTTAAACAGAATGAACCAAGTAAATTTTCCAGTATTCGTATGGGAGCAGAAGGTGGGGAAAACTCATTGAAAATCAACCGGATCTCTTACCAAACATAGGCAATGAAAGTGACATTACACTGACGAAGCTATCGCCTTCAACTGCCTTAGACACATCTGCACGTTGGAAGGTTATCTGAAGCTAAATTACTGTATCCAAATCGGGATGGAAGACATGATGCAGAGCTACTGGCAATCAAGGGAAGCTTAAAGTATTCTATGTGTTCTGACGAAACACTGTAGAGACACCGTGCAAAATGAAATCGATTATAAGGGACGGTGAAACACAAAATCTTCAAGTGTCAGCTATTTGTGGACCTATGGTTGCGGTGTACTGAGAAAAACGTATAGTGGATTATATACAGCCGAACGAGGTCAAGCTCTTCCTTCGTCTCAAAACAACAAAACAACCAATATCAAATACTTCAGAAGAAAAGTGATGATAGATGCCAGTTAACAAGTATTCCTTCATCGCATGTAATTATTTATCAGACCAGATGAGGAAGTGAAGAATATGTGCCAGGTAGTGAACGAGAGAAAGACGAAATAACAAACATTCGCGATTTGGTTCCCACATCATTGTTGTCGGTCTTTACTTTGAGGTCGTAGATACATAACTTCGTCTTTCATGGAACCGTTATTAACACCAAAAACAATATCAGGCTGGAAATTCAACGCGGAATCACTCTTGCTAAACAGTTGCTCCTTTTGGACTGAGTAGGTTATTGAAAATTTAGTGCTCTCACAAAGCTCATCGTTCCCGTCCTGCTATGACAATATCTGATGACTCGGTGTTAGGAGTTTTAGAGAGAAAGGTTTGCGTAAGATTTCTGGTCCACTTTCCAACTCGTAGTGGGGGAATATACAGCCGATAGAAATACAAATGTACGAATACACCAGTTTTGAAAGTTTTCGATGTAGTACCCAGAAGTGGCAGCAGAGGAAGGTAAAGATCTACATTCCACTCCGTTGGAGGGACCTAAGCAGTATCTGGCTCTACTTGGTATTGCCAATTGGCGCCAAACTGTATAACGAGGGAATAAATGGGCTATGTAATGAACTCGGCTATAATACTGTACGGCTTTCCATAATAATGAGTTCTGCTTCTTAAATCTTCTGCTAGTCTTCTCATCTTTTCATAGCCTACTTAGTTTCCCAAGCTTTTCGTACACATTTAGACTTTTATACCTTTTCTCTGTGAAAGCCTCTCTAGCTGTGATCAGACTTTCTACTCTGTTTCTCAATGCAGCAGTGGAAAATCCATTGAATTGTGACGATACCGGAGCTGGAAATGCTATACTACAGATGCGTGTTGTCGAGAAGTACTCGAGGAGGACAAGGTTAAAGATGAGTAGAAGCTGCTTGGATGTCTGCTGCCAATGCAGATTTTCAACGTGGAACCCTCCTTGCGCGCCTACTTCGCTCTACAGATCTTTGCTATAAAATATTGAGCCAAAGTACCCACATCTCAAACGCACTTGACATATCTTCGTCACTATCATAACGTACAGAATTTGGTTTCGAGCCTTTCGTGCCGTATACTAACATAATATATTACCAGGTCTCGGACCCAGGGAAGTTTCGTGGCGGAGACCAAATGGATGAAATAAAGACACCTCATAAAAAACCATCAGCCGTTCGGAGGTGGCTTAGTATAAGCTTTGTAGGTCCCTCAATTTGTTGGAAAATCATCAACACCCAAAACCACAAATTGGAGGAGGAGGAGCTCGACCGAAAATCGCTTTTGCGGTTACAAAGTGCAAATTATATTATACACAAATGTATAAGCTCAGCGTTAAGTATGCGTTAAGTTTTCTTTTAAGTACCGTAAGCGTCAGATAATCTTGGTATTTAAGTAATGACCTGCAGCAACCCGAGAACCAGAGCAAAGAAATAAACAAATAAAAAATAAACAAATGAGTAATAAAATTAAGCAAGGATAAGTGACAACGTTTCTTCAAAGTGCTGTCTGTGTTTATATATGAGAATGTTGTCGCAAAATAACCAACATTTTCTCTAAGTGCGCTTAACCAACTTGAACAAATGACCAAAGAGTCAGCGCGTGACAGTTATTTCCATAACAAAAAGGAAAAGGGATATGAGCAGAGGCAGGAATGCAATTTGGTATTAAAATAAATTTAAAGTCAGATTTTATTAAACATTTTCTTCATTTGATGCATAAAGCAGCGCAAATTTAAGCAATGTGATGGCATATAAAGAACCTCGTCTCAAACCAAGGTTTATAGAACACAAGGTTACGATATGAGCCTAATTATACAGCCATGGCCAAAAATATTATGCACCCTACTAATTACTGCATTTTTTTTAACAAGTGAAGTAATGAAGTTTTATTAGTAAAACCGTCAAAATATAATGAATTAGTAATAATAACATTAATATTTAGTGGGTTCACTCTTCGATTTAATAAAGGCAGAAATTCTCTTAGGCAAGCTGCGTACAAGCTTTGCACATTCGTCCGCACTTATAGTGTACCACTTGTTATTAAGGCATTCTTCAAGGCAGATTTGGTGTTATACTGTGTTCCTTGCGTTCTAAATAGCCCACATGTGCTCAATGGGAATAAAGATCTGGAGACTGTGCAGGCCAATCTAACAAAACAATGTTGTTATCTCTAAACCAACGCATCGTAGTCGCTGATTTGTCACAAGTAGCAATGTCTTGCTGGAATTGAACCCCGTCTAAATTAGTATCGCCGAAAATGCGCGTTAACGAAGGCAGAAGATCAGCTTCCAATACATTTATGTACTTTTGACTGTCCATGCGACCCTCGCAAACGAACATTTCGCCGACACCATCAGCAGCCATGCAGCCGCAGATCATAAAGCTGCCTCCTTAATGTTTAACAGAGGGTACCACGCAATATGGATAATATTCTTCCCCAACCCGTCGCCTCACGAACGTCACACGAGGTATTCTAAATATCTGTAGAAAAGAAAAAAATAATGTTTTCATAGAATTTGTATTATGTTTTCAAAATTGCTTTTGGGTAAGATGCTATGTCTGTTAATACTTTAAGACGATCTTAACTAAGCTCACCTCGAAGTTTGATTCATCAGACCAAAGAGCATTCTTTCGTGAAATGCTGGTATCGGCGAGCCCATTCCAAACGATTTTTCCATCTACTTTTTGAAAACCACGGCTTCTTTCGGGCTTTGCATCCTTTTGAACCTGCTTTAAGAAGTCTTCTTCTAGCTATGCGGGCACTAACTGGTTTACTAAATTCATCCGAAAGGGCAGCTGCAAGAGCAGAAGAAGATTTTTTGCGCTCCATGAGAGACTCGTGTATAAGTATTCGGTCTTCTCGGATTTACTGGTTAGACGCTTTCTTCAACTTTTTGTTTTATTGTTGTGAGATTTCGTTTCCACAAATTGCCTGATAGCACTTTGGACCGCGCACCCACCTCCCACCAAATTGGCAAGCTCAACCTGAGACTTACCTTTTTCACATAGAACTTGAATTCTAACTCTATCATCGTAACTAATTTCACTTTTTTAGGCATTTCGGTTAATGTGAACTGTTTTTATAAGATTGCTAACTTTTCACTAAATGTAATTTACACTTTCACTTTCAAATTTTAAATACGAAAATATTTTATGAATTTCTCAAAAATGACAATTTTTTGGTTTAGCTCACCCAGAGTGCTTTGACTTTTAATATTACACAAAATTTATGCGTTTAATCATTTAAACACCCATGTGAGACATTTACAAAAAGAAGTGGTAACTTTGATAGCCACATTTGAGAATACTTGTATTTTAGTGGGGTGCCTAATACTTTTGGCCTAGGCTGTATGTTTAATGACGAAGTTGTTTCAAGTTGTGGGTTGCCGAGGATTTTAAAATAAATTTTCATAATTTTATCCATATAACAACTTAAAATTTTGGCTATGAAATTCTAAAGCCTTGAATTAATTTTTGTCAAAAATTAAAACGATCAGAATAGTTTTAAGACGAACAAATGTATTTTAGTTTTCAAAAATTTTTAATTTATAAAGATGAATATTATTTTTTAACAAAAATTTCTTTAGGTAGCAACTCTAACTTTTGGTGTCATTTAATATGAATGGCATGAGAAAAATATATTATTAAAGTATATTAAAAAATAATTAATAAAAACCCCATTTTGGCATATTTTCTTTGAGAAATGAATGATCCCAATCTTGTGAAATAATTCGAGGCGGTGAAAAAGTGAGCAGTTTTTTGTAAGAAATTTTTCTCATTCTTACATACATAAACATTAAAAAAAAATATTTTTTTTTATTATATAGTATCAAATCCCGCCCAACGTATATAAGACGGGGTAGGGTCGGTGACGTCAACGATTGTCTTAACTTTGTATTCTATAAACCTTGGTCTTAAACGATATATTTAACACGAAAAATGAACCAAGAAAGAATCGGTGGAAGGCGATAATATTAGTAAGAAGGAGAGAACTAAGAGGTTGTCCCGTGAGAACATTATGCACATAACCTCAGTTCCTTTTCCTTTCACCTTCCGGCAAACTTGTCTTTTAGATCTCTTAAGTAGAGGTGCTTTGGCTAGCAGACTTGGGCCTTTTCCCCTTCTAAAATACGCGTACGATTTGGTATGTCAGACGAGTTATATCGCTTGCTATTTAGGGCTGGATATCGACTGCGACCGGAAAGTCTCTTTCTCTCCCGAGCCCCAGCAGTTACATCATTTGTGAATCAAACTTTCCTTTATTATTAGTTCTGATTGAGCAGTATCCTGTTGTTATCCCAGTTGTGATACATATGAAGAAGTGGTCCAGAAAAAATATACCATTACCTCTTGGCGTCAAGCATATTACCCGATATTACTGAGTTTCTTTAGTTAATTCCAGTATCAACATACATGCTATTTTACCGTTGATAGAAGGTAGTCCTCATTTTACGTAGAGTTCGTATTATTGATGCTGGACCG